AATGTCTAACAATGTATGGTCGTACGCGTTTCTCTACTAAATGGCGTGGCAGCGACGTACCTGTTGGCTGGCGTAGCACACACACTCCTTATCATTAGACTCGCAAGTTCGCAAGTCGCTGCGTTGTCGCGCAAATTCAACATTAGTTTAAAACCGTCAGCACATAGACCCACCCACCGAACATGCACATTTCACGAATTCATGAGATATTCTCGCACAAAGGCTCCGGTCGTCGCGTCTCCTATGTCACCGTCTGTACCCGCAATATAATATATAAAATACTATAAATCAGACCTTAGAAAGTTCATTTAAAATTTATGAACTAGTATTCATTTGAGCATACAAAATACATACGATTGAACTAAATTAATGAACTCGTTTGTTTTATCTTAATGGAATATTGGACTTATTTGGTCCAAGTTCGTGAATTCCAAGTTATTATTATTTTTTTTTTTAATAATATAAATTAGTTTTCTCTCAATTCAAAGATTCCATTGAATATTGTGTAAGGTATGCAAGTTGTATAGCATGCCTCTAGATAGTAACTTTTAGATAACTTAACTAAAAACGATACTAAATAAACTAATAAATAACTAAATAACTGAATAACAAGAAAATAAGGACCTATGTTAATATGCTATAATAATTTATAATAAATATTAAAATAACAAATTTTTGTTTCATACTTTTTATTTTTAGATTCTGAGTGGAACGACGAATGTATTGATTTTACAATGATGTGTGTTTTTTTTTTTTTTTTTAGTCTGTCATCACGGTTTGGGGCATTAAAACTGCTTCGATTTTCTTCAATAGTATCTTTTTCGATGGGAAAATGAATCTAGGTTGTGCATTCAGGAGGTCAAATTTTAAAATTCCCAATAGTTTTCATGAGCGCCGGGAAAAACAACAAAAAAATTAAGGAAAAACGGGAATTCTTACTCAAAATCGGTTTTCCACAAAATGGATTTTGGTTTTTGGTATAACTCTAAAACAAATGAACTTATATACATGACATTTTTACTAGTTGTTTATATTTCTATTTTCTATACACAATAAAATTTTCAAAACATTTTGATTTGTTTTGAACTATTTAGGAACATTTCAGTTTCCAATTGTATTAGTCTTTTTTTCTATGAATGTCAATAAAACTTTATTTGTTTTTGTAAAAAATCTTAAAAATTTAATACAAGGCTCCTAATATATTTTTACAATAGCAGTTGAAAAATATTAAAAATCCTTAGTCACAATTTTTTTTTATAAACTTTTAAAGTTCAAATCTTGACAAAATACGTAAAAATCACGAATATTACCAAATTATTTTGAGTTGAGGATTCATAAAAATTTTTCTTTTTAAATATAAGATTTTAAAATGTAAATAATGTAATACAAGATTACTCATAAGTTTATCTACCTTTATCAAAAAAAAAAATGTCTATAAGCAATTCAAATTATTTTTATGAGCGTTTGAAATTAAAATTTTTACAACATTGGATATATTCACTAGATTTCCCATGTAGCGATATCCTTATTTTGTTGTAGTTCAAAAACGAATAACTGTAGATACATGAACATTTCACTGAATGTTTATATTAGCATTTCCTAATACACCATACAATTTGACCATACATTTTGACACTTTTTGAGCTGTTTAAAGACATTTTTTTTTCTATAAATATCATTTAAGTTTTATCTGTTGGGCAAAAAAGTGTAAAAATGTAATACAATGCTCCTGATATATCGTTACAAAAGCAGTTGGAGAATATTAAAAATACATAGGCACAATTTTGATAAAATTTATCATATTTAATATTGAATAATTATTTTGTAGTTAAAAATTTATAAAATGTTCGACTTTTATAATATCTAAGGATTAAAAATTTGAAACAAGATTCCATGTAAGTAGTTTATTCTGTTACCAAAAAATCTAAAAAATACATAAGCACAGTTTATTTTTATAGCCATTTTAAGTTAAAATTTGGACGAAATTACATATTAAAAACCTAGAATAACTATTTTAGTTATTTTGTTGTGACTATATAATATTATTTGGGTTTAATTGAAACTTCTTAAGTACACTATTATATATTTATGATAGTATCAGGGTTTGTTGTTGATGTATAACTCGTTATATGTACTTAATAGATATTGTGATATGATTAATTTGGAATTTATTATAGGTCAATTTTTTTTAATAGCATAGATAAGTATATAATATGTCTTATACCAAGACTGACATACCGTCTCTGGGGGTCTATTTTGTACGCCATACGAATATTGCTCGTACATACGATTGTTCGTACACATTTTTTTCGTATACGAACATGATTTGGTATTTTGTACAACCATACGAAACTAAGATATACGAATCATTGGCCATACGGATGTTTTTCGTACTATATTTATATTCGTACGTATGACGTCATTATATAATGACGTTTATCCGTATTTTAATTTCGAACCTATACGAACAGCATTTTAAAATACGTATACCCTCATGGCTACATCCGACATCGTCCATACATTTAAACGAATTTTGGTGGAACTCTATCTTACTATAATACTATAGGAACAATAATTTAATATACTATTGTTTACATTTAAATTTCTAAATATAATACGTCTATTAGGTATATGATAAAATAAATACGTAAAATTGTTAGATATAAAATAAAATATCTTATCTGGAAAGCTATATTGAAAATATATACATATACTTATTATAGGTAGGTGAATTCTGAAATTTGCATAATTATTTTATATTATAATAGGTAATTATTATATTATACATTTATACCTAATTAAATATTAAATATGCTTTAACTTATGATAAACAAAGATTCCATTTATGGTTAAAAATGTTAGTATAACAAGTTTGAAGCGTACCTATTGATAATTGATTTTATATTGTACATTTTTACCTAATGGTTATTTCCCGTACAGTCGTAATCGTGTGATTATAGTGGTCTGTTTGATTATTTATCAGCTTTTTTTATGCTTTAAAAGAAACGAAATGTCAACAGAAAAAAAAATTAAATCTGGCTCTCTAACCGGTGACCAAAAACAAACAATTATAGATTTTATGGAGTCGCATCCTCACCTCGCCAAAGGTAAGTTTAGTGCCTCATTTACCAATGAGAAAGCGACAAATCTATGGCAAGAACTTACAGCATCGTTAAACAGTATACCGGGACCAATCAAAGAATGGAAAGCTTGGCGTCGAGTAAGTATTTAAATTTTTAAATATTTCGAATTAGTTAATTTGGAAGTTATTCGACAATATAAAAAAAATTGGTAGGTATAATGAACAAGATATTTAATTATAATTTAGACTTGGCATGATATGAAAGGAAATGCAAAATCTAAAAAGGCAAAATTAAATTTAAATTTTCGAACTACTGGTGGTGGTGAATCAATAGCTACACCACTCAACAAGTTGGATGAATCCCTAGTAGGTATTATAGGTGAAGTACCAATAACAGGAGACCCGCGAATAATGGAATCTTCTGTTTCATTTGATTTTCAAAAGCCGTCAACTTCAACAATATAAATCTATAAAATACAGATTATTGGTTCAATTTTTTGATGAAGTAATTACTATATTACGGATTTTAAAGGCATTTCCTATTTTTGATTGCTATAAATTCCATTTCTACTACTCAGGATCAAATACACTAAATTGTATTTTGTTTTCTTGGTACCTATTTTAATGCTTTTTGTTTTTTTGGTTATCTACTTTTTTTAATAAACTATCAAATATTTCTAATACCTTATAGTTTATTTGTAATAAATCATTTTTTTTAAAGCCTATTTTTAATGCTTTTTTTTACGCTTCTTTGGAAGATTTGAAGAGCTTTATTGAATTATTTTCAGTTCGCCTCAAAATCCGTACTCTAGTAATTACTAATAATTTCATTTTTGATATTACCTAAAATGTATACTACTATAATATTATTATAATAAAATTTATTCTACACTTCAGATTTGCACCTCTATCGCCATCGTTAGCAACACCGTTATCGGTCGACTATGTTATTGATCAAAATTTAACGCAAACGTAAGAATTTACACGAATTAAATTAATTATTAATAGTTAAAACTTAAATATTTACCAAAATGTATTGTACGAAATGACAAAATATTTGGTACACATTAAAATAATCTAAGTGTTAATTTATTGGTTTTTAGTGATTTATTTGATGGTTCTACTATTGGTATTGAAAGAAGCGTGAACAGTGCTACACATCATCATGAGCCAGAATCACAAACCACAGTAATTGATCCTAATAATACATCGGCTGATAGAAGGTAAGGATTTTAAGTAAAATTAAAGAATAGTTTGTATGATAAAGTGAATAATGTTTTAAATGAACAATAATGTAAATCAAATATATTGCTGTATTAATACTTTCTATACTTAAATTTGATTCTAGTTGCAACGATTTATTAAGTACTAAGATTACGGAGTTGCGAAACAATCCAAAAAACAAATTTCACAACAAAAGACAGCGGTTAGAGGCATCAGTAAAAGCTACGACTGAACTTGGCGTATTGAGTAAGGAGAGGAATATGATTCTCGAAAATTATTACGAGAAAAAGCTTCAAATTCTTCAACAACAATTAAAGTTGAAGGAAAGAAATGTCATTGCTAAAGAAAAAATAGCAAAAAGTATTAGTGATTTAGTTGAAAATCATTTTACAAAATAAAAATAAACTAGTTAAATAATAATATAATAATCATACAATTTAAGTGTTTAGATGTTAATAAAATAATAATAATGATAATAAAAATAGGTAATTATTAAATTATTAGATATATAATATAATAATTTATAAATTATAATTAATGTTAATTAAATTAATTATATATTATAAAAAAAAAATAAATGTTAATTATAAAAAATTGTAATTGGGTTCTACCCGTTTAAATTAATAAAATAAAATAAATAAATAAATAAATAATATATAATAATGTACATAATATACTAGTTTTGTTTGCAATATTATGTATAAAATCGTTCAACTATTTGTTGTCTAACACGGCGGCCTGCTATAAATTCAGGATTTTGTCTATTATTTATATTATCAATGTTCGCATTATTTTGTTCAATAAATCCCAAATCATAATCGTCTTCAAATTCATCAATAAGCGGTATATTTTCGTTAATACACAAGTTGTGTAGTAAAACACAACTGTTAATTATTGAAGCGGCTTTATGTGGATGATAATGTAGAACACGATGTTTCAGCAAACATCTAAATATTAAGAAATGTTGGATTACATAATGGTATATTATACATATATATTATATATATAATGAAATTGTATTTACCTAAATCTCATTTTCAATACACCGTTACAACGTTCAATAATTGACCTAACTTTACAAAAAGAATCGTTGTAAGCTGCTTCTGGTGTATTGGGTTCGGGTCTCAAAAATGGAGTCATCATCCACGGTCTCAATGCGTAACCTGAGTCCCCTAAAAATTATAAACTAATTAAGTTTTGTACTTAAAATACTAGTAACGTTAAAAAGCTATAGGTAAGTGTTTACAGTAGGTGTTGACTGTCGAGTGGGTCACTGTATTAGGTACCTATGTGTTTAATTAGAATTCAATAACGTATCATCAATATAGGAATACGAAAATATAGGTAATTCAAGCTTTGAAAAACCGACATTCAATATTCATAAGTATTTTGTATCATATTACTATATTAGTAATCCTATGGAATTTAGAATTATATTAAAATTGTCATTAGTAAATTATTTTACTATTAATATTATGATAGGTTGATTCGATTTTTGATGAAAAATTGCATTTATTTTATTATTCATTGTATATGTTATGTTAAATCAGTATGCGAGAAAATCTAATAATTTAAGGAAATGTATACATGTAAATATTGTGCTAAATGCCTAATTGTTGAAACCGAAATGTAGTTTTCGTAATCAATAATAATTATAAAAATAGTACCTACTTATTTACCTACAAATTCTGACTCAACCAATCTACCTTGAAAATACAATTAATAATTTATCTGTAAATATGTAATTTTTTTTTCTTATTTCTTTTCTTCTCAATTGTATACATTTTTGAACATAAAATATGTTTTTTATATAAAAAAAAAAATGTTGGCTAATAACCTTAGCAGTGGACCCCTGTAAACTTTTAAATATATATAGTACCTACTTATACATTTATTTAATTTATTGTTGTTATTAACTTTTTGGGACAATACCGCCTCAACGAAAAATGGTGATTCATCTAAAAGTTTAAAAAATGTCATTGTGCATATAAAATGTACATAAAAACATTTGTGCTTATGTATCTTTAATAATTTGAAATAGCTCATAATCTAAAACAAGTAGCTATAGGTATAGTAGATAAATTAATGTAAAACAAAATGTTAGTTGTTTCAGCATGCCTACTCACCTAATAGCATATATGAAGAATGGCCATTCCTATGTAAGGTTTCCATCAATTGCTTGACATTGCTTTGATTCCATATGTGAGAATCGTGACTGGATCCTGGATATTTGGCACAGACGTTTAAAATTCGTAGATTAACGTCACATATCTAAAATGTTTTAGTATTCAAAATACTATTAATTGTTATAGTATAATATATTACTATTAGGTATTATTATTATTTATTTAATTTACATATTACCTAAATGTTTTAAAAGAAATGTTTGATTATAATAATTGAGAAATAAAAACTTACGAGTTGAGTGTTGATTGAATGGTATCCTTTCCTATTAACATAAATATGTTCGGGATATAACTCATCATTTATCGGTGGAGGGAAAATCGCAATGTGAGTGCAATCAACAACTCCAACCACGCCTTGAAAACCAAATTTTTCATTGAATCTAAAATAATATATTTTATATTATATAACAACAATTATTATGTTTATTGTTAATACATAATATTATGGGTAATTATCTAATAACGCGAATACAAAAATGTACGGTATATACTTTTGGTTTATTATATATTATTATAATATTAGGTACCATAATATAATATATATACTATATAGTTATAGTTATTATAAAGCATACCTACCCTCTTCGCACTGCATTCAATTCATCCAAACTTCTTGGAAAGTAGACAAACTGGTCAAAAAGTTGGCGATTATTCAGAGCTGATGTAACTTCTGTGATGCAATTGCTGACTGAAGCCTGACTTAATGCTGAGTACCTACTTAAACCTATATCGTTTTGATAGCTTCCTGACGCAAAAAATCGAATAGCAGTCAATACCTATATTAAAATATGTGTTATTGTGATAAATTCAGTTTATGTACATATATGCTATAAAAATAAGAATTAACAAACTTTTCTTTCAATTGTTAGACCTCTTGATGTTGCTGGAGGTTCCATGTAAGGAGACACCATATTAATGACCCATTTCATTAAATCTTTTGATAGTCGATACGTCATGATAAATTTATTTTCGGAAAATTCTATGTAATTTTTAAAACATTAAATTTACTTATATTTTCAATACCCACGACTATTTTCAAACATAATAATATCATGCTACTCAAAAATAAAATTTGCATTGTAAGAACTTACCTTCAAAAGGGTTTTCATTAGTATATATTTGTCTATGGTATTCGGCAGCATCTTCTTCTTCTATAATGTCTAATGCTTCTATCGCGGCTAGATTTTCAATAAAGTCAAAGTCATCCATTTCGTCAATAAATGAAGAATGTAACTAATTGTATAATATTATCAATTATGTCGCAATAATTCTAAATTGATATAAACACCGTTTTTAAACGTCTACAGCGATGCAAATGATTATGCAGCTATGATATTAATTAATTGAATTGAGATAATATTTATTTTGTTGTAGTATCTATAGGAAAACCGGCTTTCACATACCCTACTACCATCCGTAGTAATCATACTAAAACCAGTCGTACATACGAGCGATTTCGTCGTACGAATAAAGTTACAAAATACCGTACGTACGTACGTAATTTCGTATGGACAATGTACAAAATACCATTTTCGTGAACCATACGTAACATTTACGTATGAACGGGAGTCAGTCGTACGTACGATAAGTTTTCGTATACGAAAGTAGTTACAAAATACCGAATTGGAATTTCATACGAAAAATGTGCAATTTTCGTATACGAACTGCATTCGTATGGCGTACAAAATAGACCCCCTGCTCAGAATCGTTTTTCTTATACAGTGATATTATATCATTGAAATAAAATTTAATACCATCCATTAAACCGTGACCCACTTGTAACCTACTGTACAGCAGAGCACCTTTATATTAATACTTTGCAACCCACACGTAATATGGATTATTCTTTAAATATTCGAAATAATATAAAGATATTAGAATATATAAAATAGGCTGGAAAAGTGAATACTATATATAGGTACTACCTATATATATGCTTATTAGTTATTAAAATAATAATTATTTGTCATTTGATACATTTTATTAATATAAATTTAGTTTGTGAAAATGCATTTAAATTTAGTATTAAGTAATTAGTATGCAACTATTATGCGTGTACTAAGAATTTACATATGAATATTTCCAAATATATTTTTTAAGATAATTAATAAGAAATACAAATTATTAAATTGTCTGTTTTTTATATTATAATGTATATAGTTATTGGTACTTATATTGATAGTTAGGGACGTATTTAAGTTTAAAAAAATGCACACTGGGACTCCAATTACCTATGATCTGTTCTTCACCTTTTTTAATTTGACGCAATACTTACCTACTGGATTGTAATTTTCGGACACAAGAATAGAATTCCACACTGTAAACATCGTAAGTTGGAAATTCGCAATTTTACCTTAATAATTACTAGTACTTCTAACATCCTAAGAACACAACACGAATATCAATACTTCTAAAACCTATACCTGTATAAATATTCTTCAAAAAACCAACATTTATTTTTATTATAATAATAAACAACGAAATCAAACTGTTGGTATTCGATCCTAATCCTGTTGTAATATTATATATGTATGAAGTTTGAAGCAAAGTTGAGTTGTAAATAAAATTTCAAGTTCATTAAAAATGGGGAAAAATTGTCAAAATAAGTGGATTCAATAAGATATGATGAACTTAATTTATCTTGGTTCATATTATATTTTCTTGGTTCATATTATATTTTAACTTTGAGAGAATGAACGAGTTCTGCGTTATAAGCTTATGATATATTATGTTTATTTTATAATAATATGATCTCGGGTTTATTAAACGCATATTGTCTCAACGATCCTGTAAATATACGGTCCACAGCTGCAGGAATGGCGCGCGCACGCTCATGAATACGATATGATATTTTACGCATTTTTCGTTTTTTTTTCGTTTTTTTTTTTTTTACCCTTCCCGTTATTGTTCTACGATTTCTGCTCTCATTTATATTAATGCGTTCCACGAATTATTATACTCTTATTTTTTCATCTCCTGTCCGTAGCGCGGGATTCCTCTCACGGTATATATATTATATATTATAGGTACCTATTATTATCGTATAAAACATCCTGCTTGGCTGTAGAGTGTAGATAAGCTTATATATTATACAGGGTGTCCGTAGTCCAGGAAAACAGGAGTTTATATATGTATAACAAATGTTAAAATAACTCCCGAAGAAGTAAGAAAAAAGTAACTACAAAAATTGTTTATTGAAAACATAGGGCAATTATATGCCATTGAGTCGAGCCCAAAGGTTAAAAAATCACATGTCTCGAAATTAATGTCAGTAATCCAGGGAGTGTGATTACTGGATGGCTTTTCCATCAACCGTTTCATGTCATTAAAATAATATAGCCAATATTTTTATTGTGTCTCTATTGGTACAGTTTGTATATTACTTGTAAAAATAAAATGTCCGTAAGCTGGTGGCCATTTGTACGTACCCATTCCTGAAATAGTGAAATCGTAAGGGTCTGAAGTTGTGGAGCATGCGGCTCTTTGGCATGCATCACCCCCCTGGGAATCACAACAACTTCTCTTCGAATATGAATTTTCAACTCGTCAATCGTGGTTGCTAGACGAGTGGTGTCCACTCGGATTTTCAGATAGCTTCACAAGAATAAAAATCGCACATCTTTAAGTAAAGTGATCTATTGTGATCTTGCAAGGCCAATGATGAATGTCACCAAACCATGAAATAACACGATACGTACGAATGGACACCATCTTAAAGGGATATTAATTTCTAGAGATGTTATCTTTGCACTCTTAATGGCATATAATATTATGTAGTTTCGGCTTTAAATAATAAATGTTTGTAAATATATTTTTTTTACTTCTTTGAGAATTATTTCAGATTTACCCGTTTCTTGTAACACCCTGTACACTACTTTATTTATATTATATCAGATGTGACATTTTACTTTTGAACAACAGACATTTGTCTAAATTAATAGACATCCAATGTATTATAGAATTTAGATCAATCTACAATTGAGGGGTTGTGAGCAACTATAGTGGTCTACTGGCCTATTGCATGCATTTTTTTTTAAATGTATAAGAGGTTATGAGATAATTTAAATATATTTGAATGCAACACCGACCTATCTTTGTTTTTTTTAATTTTACACTAGATATATGATATAGTATATTATATCATAACTATCATTACATAATATATTATATTATGTTATTATATCATATTATGTTCCGTGACAATGCAAAACTGGCTAATAATTATGCCCATTAATCGTTTGATGCGGCCAGGCCACTGCAGTTATGCTCGGCTCAACAATTATTGTTATCTCAAATATAGTCGCATGGATACTGTTCCATCACAAACTCCCGTTACTTAATTTTGAAAATCTTAAACAATAAATTTTACCTATACAAAATATGAATGATAATGTGGCAAACGTCGAATTGGTTCCCGGGTCAATTAAAGTGTACGAATTGGTTCCCGACAAAAAAATACTTTCCAGTATACAACTGTTCGAATTGGTTCCCGAATAAAATTACTTATCAGTTTATCAGTATAGGTACAAACTCACTGTTACAAGATACGTATAATATGTACAATCGATAATCTTATAATATTTTATTAGGTTTTACGATGTCTGGGAAAGTTTATAAATATAATTTTATATCTAATAGATTGATTATGTTTCGTGGTTTCGTCAGTCTTGTCACAACTAACCTAGTGCGTGCGTTGAAATGGAAGTGATGTTTAGTGAAAAAAATAAAAAAACTCTTCGTTATTAAGGGTTTCAAATACGGATTTCAAAAGGAACTATCGGGAAATATGGAACGTTGAACTTGTACAAAAAGAAAATGCACATAGCTTTTAAAAATAAATAATTTAAATAATATTGAGGAATGTAACCTCAAACACAATCACGAAAAAGATAGTGAAAACATATTGGACAGGCAAGCATTGAGTAATAACTTAAAAAGAAAAGCTCAGGAAAATCTTGAACGTCCAACAAAATTAATTTTCCAAGAGTTACTGGTCAATGGTTAGATTCGGAACCAATTCGTAGTCGTCCGATAATTTAATATAATATTCTTGTATTCAAAACAATAGCACATTGCACGGCGATCGGTGCATTATTAAATTATTAAACTTTGTGTTTTAATCTCGTCTGGAAATACTACGTTCTGTTCATAGAGTCAACACTGTACAGCACATACCAAGCGTTCGAACTGTTCGCAGTCGTGTATAGTAGTTGTATGCGTACCTATACACACTTCCGTGGTCATTTATACTCTTTAACGCATCCAATTCCGACGTGTACGATATATTGTTGTATGGGTAAAATTTTATACTTTGCTCACTCGACGACACGCACACACTGCAGGATTTGTGCCCGTATAATATTTTTCCTTATTTCTTTTGACATTCACCCTTTTTCGGTACACCGAAATGCTAAAATATTTATTCTACCACTCAGTCGTGGGACACTTATTAACTGTCCAATTGGCAATTATACGGCGCTCCGAGTGAATGTCTATAGTATGATGTAATGTCGCGTGTATCATCTCGCACAGATTTAATTGATATATTATATAGGCTGAGGGCTTATAATATAATATGATGCACTGCTGGAGGAGAAGAGCTGACGCAGACCCGCAGTCTCCCCGCAGCGGTAGCAATTATAGGATTTGGCGTCACTTTACGATCTAAGGAGATAATCCTTCGTTATTAAGGCTCGCGACGCCGAGGACGAGGAGCACAACAGTATTATATGCGCGTTATTATTATGATATATAAATAGTGTCTAACGAATGAATTTTGTGTATACATATATTCGTGTTTTGTAAGCGTGTGTTTGTGTGTGTAGTATCCATGGAGTGGCATCCGACACGGTTTTCTCTCGCATAAATTGTTCCCACTCATTGCACCGCCACTGTATACGGGCCGCTACTCCCGACTATTCAGAGAGCTGTTGTTGTTGTTGTTGTTGTTATTTATATGATATACATATATATGTATTATGGTATTTTATACCAGGAAAACAATTTCCCCACTCTTTCATACCGGATTGTCATTGTATTTTCTTGAATGCAGTTCTTATAACGCATTTACATCAAAGTTATTTTTTATTTTTATTTTTATTTTTTCAAGACGACCATCAACAAGTATAATTACACTTAGTGTAATCATCACAACACGTGTAGAAGAACAATAGGAGCCAAACGAAATGCTTGCTGTGAATTCGAATGTA